GTCACACTCAAGAATTATCTCCCCAATTCCAGGGATCACGTTGCAGAAAGAATTGTCCTTTTCGGGTTTAGGATGACCAGAAATATTCGACTGCCTCTTATATACAAGATGTTAAGGAGATAAATATCAGTCATGATCCCTACCTTAAAGTTAGTCAGCAGTCAGCAAAGCATTTATTAAGCACATACTAAGTGCTAAGTACTGGATAGAAAGAAAAGCAGAAAACATACAGCCCCTGCCTTCTAGAAGCCCACATTCTAAAGAGGGAGATAATATGTGAACAACTAGATACATAAAAGATGTATACATAGGCAATGGAGTAATGCATCAGCAGCTGGGGAGACCAGGAAAAGTCTCCTGCAAAAGGTGGGCTATGGGGGCAACTAGGTGGTACAGTGGATAGAGCAGCGGCTCTGGATTCAGGAGGACCTGAGCTCAAATCCGACCTCAGACACATAACACTTACTAGCTGTGTGACTGAGGGCAAGTCACTTAACCCCACTGCCTAACAGAAAGGAAAAAAAAAGGTGAGCTTATGAACTAAGTCCTGAAGAAACCTAGGGAAAGTAAGAGTCAAAGGTGAGGGGGCCAGAGAATTCCAGGCATGCAGAACACCACCTACAAAGACAAGAAGATGGGGAATCTCGTGTGTGGAACTGCAATTGGGCCAACGGTTTGAACTTAGAATCTGTGGAGGGGAAGTAAGGTATAAAAGGAAAGGTAAGAAGGGGCCACCTTACAAAAAGCTTTAAATGTCAAAGGATTTTATATTGGATTCTAGCAGTAACAGGGAAGCCACTGGAGTCATTCAGCAGGGGGTGACACGGTCAGACCTATGCAGAAAAAAAAAATCACCTTGGTAGCTGAATGGACAATATTATAAAAGACTTATTAACAGCAAAAGCTGTGAGAAGGCTTTCATATTACTCCAGGCCCAATGGGAATGGGAACCAGGACTATGGCTCCATGAATGGGGCAAAGAGAAGAATATATGAAAATTGCAGTGAAGGGAAAGACGATAAGAATGAGAAAGAATAAGGAATCAAGGATGATGCCAAGGTTGCAAGATGGGGTGGCTGGGAGGACAGTGTTGCCCTCAGCAGTAATAAAGTTTACCAGTGAGGAAAGTCTGAGGAGAAAGATCATTCATTCTGATAGAAACAAGCAAAGTAGTTGACTCAAAGACAGAGTGAACAGAGGGAGACTTTTATTTCATTTCTTGCAAGAAGCGGGTGTGTGATGCTCCCAAAGAGCCTGCACACACTGATACAGAAGCAAGAGCGAGCTCTTATACCCCAAGGAAACCGATTAAGCATGCGCAAATGCAAGACCAGCTGTTAGTTATTGGTCAATACTCATCTGCAAGAACAGCTGTTAGTTATTTGTAGTTAAAGAGTACCTGCTAACCAGGATATACCAATCCACAGGCATCCTGTTTTTTACATTAACTTCTGTGGAAACAAAAAATTTCACAAACATTTTCTTTTCACAATTATGTTCTGGATATGTTGAATTTAAGATGCCTATAGGAGATCTAGAAGCTCACAGCTGAGGGGGTACAGACAGAAAAGATATTAAATGATAAGAGAAGAATCAAATGCCAAACTATAATCTTGGATGCAAGTACATAAGAATTTTAAAAAGGGAGAAAGCAATGTAGACTAGAATGGTAAAGGAGGTCTTTGTGGAAAGACTAAGAGAAACGCTTGGTCTTCAAGTCTAAAATCACAAAATTAGAATTTTAGAGCTTCAAAGGACCTCTGAGATTATACAATACAACATGTTCATCTTACCGATGGGGAAATTTAAAGTAAAATAAATTCCCAGATTCAACACACCCATGCGTATAAGCACTGGGGGAAAAAAAAGAAACATCTCCCAGAACCACCCCCAAAAAATTATTACATGGTATTTTTCAAGATTACAAGTGCAAAAGAATTGGAAAATCAAGGGATGTCCATCAATTGGAGAATGGCTGAACAAGTGTAGTATATGATTATGATGGAATATTACAGTACTATAGGAAATGACAAACAGGACGGTTTCAGAAAAAACTTGGGAAGTCTTATATGAACTGAAACAAAGAGAAATGAGAAGAACCAGAAGAATAATGTACACAGTAACAGTAATACTTGTAACAATGATCAACTACAACAATATAAATTGAAAGAACTACCACAAAACAATCAAAAATCAATGCTGCAAAACTATGAATAACAAGCTTGGCCCCAAAGAAAGAGATAGGAAAAGACACCTCTCTCCCCTCCTCTGCAGAGATCAAGAGTGAAGCACTGCACATGTCAGACATTTTCAATGTATTCATCAGTTTTGCTGAATTATTTTTCTTTTTTTTAACTTGTTGTAAGAAACAGCTTTCTAATCAGAGGGAAGGAAAGAATACATGGGATATCCTTTTAACTGACAATTTTTTTAAGATCACTAAAAATCAGGGGGTTTTTTATGTTAAAAATGAGGGTTAAGAAAAAAATGCAGAACATCGTAGTTCTCGTTTGGAAAACTGCATAACATCTAGAAAAGTTTACTTCCTATCATTACAAACTCTTCTTAATGACATTCACCACAATTCCACACCAAGAGATTCTAGTTACAAGAAAACTAGTTGTTAGCAATTGATGCTTACCCATTACAACTTTAGAAAATGCAGGATTTATTTAAGGAAAAAGGAAGAGAGCTGGAAGAACAAAGTTCCAGAGTCAGGAATGAGCATGATTTATGCAGAGGACTGTGGAGCACTCTGCCTCATTGGTGGCCATCCACAGTTAATCACCCTAGGAGGTAACATCTTCAAATACATAGCTGAAGGTCAACTTTTTTTTAAAAGCCCTTTTACATATAATCACCCTAGTCAATTCCTTACCACTAACTCCAAGAGGCAAAGTATTAGCTCAATTTTACAGAAGACACAAAGACATGGTGTGGTTATCATCGTGATCACTGTCACTAGGCTATGCCCACAACATAAATTATGGACAGGGTCAGGTTACAACATGGCACTACTTCATTCCTGGGTCTGTGGCTAACCACATCTCTGCAAGACTGGAACAGCAAGGTCTCACCCTACGGCATTACTCTTATCTAGAAATTATATCACATTGGTACCCTGTACCAAAGGTAAATGACAGCATAGTAATGACTAGCTAGTAATGAACAGGCGCTTTGAAAATCACACCTGAACTCAGGGTATTTTGTCTGAGGAGGCATTCCAACGTTTCACGGAAGACAGGCCAGGAAGGGATTAAGACTTTATGCTGTATGAATTCACTACTGTAATGATGCTAACCCTCCTCATCCCCATTTTCACATAAAATGTGACACATCCAATCCAAGGGCACCAATATTTGGACACTGAAAACCCAACAGTGACTAACCAGTTGTTCCGCTTAGTTCTACAGTTACAAGTGGCTTGGCATCCCACAGACCTTTGTGGTGATGCAAAGCCCAGACTGAAGAGCCAAAACAGTAACATGAAAACCATAAAAGCATGAAGGCTTCATTTCCTACTTTTTCTTTACCACAGGCAGACCAGCTCTGAAAAGAGAAGTCCCTTGTGAGTTGCTTTTAATTGAGAAACTCGCTTTTAATCAAAGTAGAAGGAAATTTATCTTCAGATACTTCTTTTTCAGATACTCTCTCCTAAACACAAGAGATCATCATAAGTCATTCCAGGGCAGAATGAAAACATGGAACACATGGTCATTAAAAAACACATTTTGCCCTCCAAGTGAACTGCCCAGAGTGAGGTTAGGGACTCTGAGGATGGGATTCAAAGACACTAGTTTATATATTTCCTATTTTCCACGTTCATTCCTGCCTCCCTCAGTCAAGGTTCTTCACACTATCTGAGTACAGCAAATCCAGTAAAGTGCTTTTAAACCTCCACTTTTAAGGTGGAAACAGGTAAACTGCTACCAAAGAAAGGGCAGAACAGGAATCAACACAAGAAATAACACAAGCAATCAGCAGTCCCAGCTGTACTACTGACAACCCTGTCCTTTCTATTCAAGTCCTTAATCCTGAATGATAGGGAAGCAATTTTATTTATCATGAAGGGTTAGGTAAATGCTAAATGCCACGTCTGTGTGCCGAGTTAAAGAATATTCCAAACACCACGGCGTTGCCCTGACTATTCCCAACCTCACTTGGCATTTGGAATTGCCCAATAGCCCTATCACCCTCCCTCAGTACTCTTCCACCAGCTATGAGCTGCATTTGTTCATTTCAAAGCTTAGGGAAAGCACTCTTTTTAACATCTTATTCTGCGATCTACCTCAGTCCCAACTTCAGCATTTCTTGATACATGTTTCCTGATTTTATATAAAACTCCTTTTAAAATAAATGCTGAGTTACAATGCAATTAAATGAGCGCATCTTTATTCACTTTGTTTATTCCTTTATTATTCCTAGATTATTGTTTATTCCTATTATTACTATTTATTAATCCTTTTTCATAGGATTCTTCTAAATGCCTTAGTTGTTCATTCTTTTCAGCCATGATCTATTCTTTGTGACCCAATTTGGGGTTTTCTTAGCAAAGATACTGGAGTGGTTTGCCATTTCCTTTTATAGCTTCTTTTACAGATGAGGAAACTGAGGCCAACAGGGTTAAGTGACTTTGCCACATAGCTAGTAAGTGTCTGAGGTCACATTTCAATTCTGGTCTTCCTGACTCCAGGCCTGGGATTCTATCCATTATACCACACCAAACTGCCCCATGAATGTATTAGGGATGCTCGCTATTTTATGAAAATTGGACTTACTAACATCTCTTAAATAAAGAATTCTTTTCTTCTAATTTCTCTCCCCTACATCTTTGTCTGGGAGGTTTTTGCCAAATAGATCAGAAAAGTAATAACAAAGATGAAGGAGTCATTTAATTGGCATTAAGGACTAACATATAACAGAAGTAAGTCAGAACTATGAAAATCTTTAGAATAAGCTAGACAGGTTCTGTACCTCTAGAAGACATATGAGCTACTTACACAGTTTTTAAACAATCAGTCCAGAAATTTCTTAAAGGATGATAAACCAGCTGTTTAGTCCAAGAACCAGAAGCAACCAAATCCAGATGTTGTCTTGTTGGAGAATCCTATTAGAAGAGAAACAAATGAACTATTTGAATTCAAATATCATGATTACTGAGTGAAATAATGCTCTGAAAACACTGCACATAAGTAAACCTGATTTTAAAGGGAGAAGGAAAATCCCATGTGAGATAACTATTTAAAGATAGAGTGCTAAGAACCGGCTGACTAACTTCCCCTTAAAAAAAAAAAAACTCCAGAGAACCAGACATTCTGGTAACTTAAGAGGTCAACTTTCTAACTATATTTCCAGACATGAACAAAGTCATCAAATCAAAAAGTTGTATGGGACCTTACAGATCCAACCCCAACATGGTATGAATGACAAAACTGAACAAGTTAAGTGAAGTGTGTACAGTCACAAAGCTAGTTAGGGATAGAATCAACACTAGAAAACATGTTCCTGGACTTAAACAAAAATAAGTTTATAGGCCTAGATTCACAGATTATTAAGAGTTGGAAGGGGCCTTTGCGGATTATATAATCCACCTTTATAATAAAACACTTTTTTTATACAAATTCCTTTCTGGACATCCCTAGCCATTCATTAGCCACCCAAAGATGGCTGCAGGGCCAAGTCTCATTCCTCTTTTCTCTTTCCCTATCCCTCCTCTTCCTTCCTCTCTTCTCCTAAAGTTTGGTTATGCACATAGACAAATTTCTGCTTTTCCTCAAAAAAAAAATTTTTAATAATGTAGAACTGATTGCTTTTCGGCATGGGCTAAAAAGGCAGTAAGAGTTTAGAAAGACCATATAAATGGGAAAAATAAAGATATACCCCCCAAAAAAACCAAAAGTAAATGCAGTAAAATTACACACACACACACACACACACACACACACACACACACACACACACACACACACACACACACACGAAAGCAGGATGTGAATGAAGAGGGAAGAGAAGACAATTCTAACCCAGCTCACTGCAGAAGTGGGAGGTCCACAGAGGTTACACATTACACAGATTTTCTGACCTTTTCATATATCAATCAGTTGTGCTGATTTTTTTTTTCTTTAAACAACATTAGTTATTCTGTGGGATGGCTCTCTGGATGGGCAAGGGAGAAGGAAGCTGGGGATAACAATGATGATGAAAGAAACAAAAGATAACAATAAAAACTTTTAAGAGAAAAGTTTTAGAGAGAAAAGATGCATCTGTGGAATAAAAAGGAGAAAACTGCTTTAAATGTAAAAGCTGACCATCACAGGCAAAGGGACCAAATCCTTACGGTGTCACAGATTGATAAAAATGGGATATCTTTCAGAAGTATCTGACAAACCTATTTCTAAGGACAGTGAGGGTTCAGACTTCAGCAAAAGTTTGCTTGGTCAAGATGTTTTTCCCTCTACAAGAGGAAACTAAAAGTACAAAATGCTAACTCCCTAAGATATGTGATTCCTAATGATGGACTTTTAAAAACTTAAGTCTATTAATTACATATCTAAGCCAAAACCAACTGGTCCTCTTTTGCTCTGAATATAACAAGGGCTTTGAAAGTGAACTGAAAACTTTCATTTTAATGCAATTTGCACCGTCTGATTACTTGCCTCCAGCACAAGAGTGGGTGGGCAGGCATTACTAGGCTCAGAGAGCCACATACCAGGGATAAATTCTTAAGAATTAAATGGTCAAATATGAATAAAAGGCTTAAAATTTTTTTATATGTGCATCCTAGGAATTAGTTTTATCATTGTCATTCAGGGCCAACCTTTTCTGCAGGTAATTTATTCATTTCCTCCTCACCCCAAAGCACTAAACAGGTTTTCTGAGATGCAGCCCTAGGATTCCCTCCATTGTTTACTCAGTTCTCTTTGCGCATAAAGTGGAATTGAGTCAGTGAGATAATTTATTTTGAAACTACAGCAACCACCCATGTTCTTTTTACTACTGCAATTCCACTGGGATCAGATAAAATTCACAGCATGCCACCATGCTCTGCTGTGGTCCAATCCAAGATGATGCACAACCCCCACTGTTCTGCCATTCCCCTGTAAAATGAATTCCTTACTAACTCAGGATCATGGATTTAAAGGCGAAAGGGATCTTAGAGGTTGCTGAGTCCAACCCCTTCATTTTACAATCAGTGAACAAGTATTAATTAAGCACTTAATAAGTGCAGTGCACTGTGTTAAACTCTGGGGGTACAATTTTGCAGATGAGGACACAGAGGTTAAATGACTAGTCCATAGCCACACAAGTAGTGTGACAAGAGTGATGTTACCGAGTAAAATGGGCCAAGGCAAATTTAAACCAACAGGCCAAATAAATTCCAAGAAAGTATTTGGCCCCAAATGTAAAGCTTTTAAAAAAAACAAATGCAATTCTGGAGCTGCTAGAGCTGGATATGACCAAATTGTTCTATCTAATATATCCTGATTTCTTTAAGCAGTTAAATAAAGCAATTTTATGTTCTCTGAGTATTCATTCCCTGAGTTATTGGCTGTAAAAGCCATATACAACCTTTCCCTTCCACCCTGAAAAGGTAAGAAAGTTAGCTTCATGTTTAATGACATTCTGTGGCAGCTGGTTCTCTCTCTCTCTCTCTCTCTCTCTCTCTCTCTCTCTCTCATACACACACACACACACACACACACACACACACACACACACACACACACACACACACACACACACACACCCACCACCTGTGCTAGGAAAGGGACATGGTACAGTTCTGCAGGACTTAGCAGGGCCCCCAGTTTGCATCAGACAGGGGCTGCCCAATGTCAATCCTCACCTATTCTTTTCTGAAACTCCCACTAGGTTTTTCTGTCTTTTCTCAGCTTGGAACTACTCTAGGAAGGGAAACATGGAATGGTGAATTAAACTGAACTAAAAGTGGCAAAAATGGCTGTGGAAACAGAAAGAAAAGGGCGATTTTATAGTTGAGGCAGACAGACGTTAAATGACTTTCCCAGGATCCTACGGCTAGGAAGAACTGAGGCCAAATTTGAACCCAGGTCTTCCTGATTCTAGGCTCAATGATCTATCCACTATGCCATGTAGCTGCCCCCAGAACAGTCTAGATTTAAATCCCAGGATAAATTATATGATGTCTTTGAACCTTAGTTTTACCCCCCAGAAAATAAAGGAAATGTCCAACCTACCCTCCATGGAGGCGGGAGGTTACTGCACACACATTTTCTAACTTTTTTCAATGTTATCAATCAGTTGTAATATTTTTTTCTCTCTAAAAACATATTATTTGTCATGTAAGATTGATGGAGTAATGGGACCTGGACCCCTAAAAGGAAGAGACCATGTCTCTGAAAGCAACCCAGCCCCTGAACTTTCCCACACTGGCATTTCTCCTGAGCCATCTGGCCCATCCCAACCAACCTAGATACTCAATAATCCTTTTAACTGCCCTTTCACTGTGCCTCTCAGATCACTTAACTCCTTTCTTTGCTTGTCCCTGGCCTACCCCAGGATACTTACCACTCCTTAATCCCATCACATCTTTTTACTTACCCTTTCCCTGTTTTTCTGTACAAAAGTATCATTCAAAAAGTATAAAAAATATCAAGTCACAGATTTACTAGGAATCTTGCCCACCATACTGGACTAAAAGAAAGCTTGAGTGGTTGAATTCTTTCAAGGCAGACTCACCCTATACCCTTACATTTTGGGGTTCCCAGAACCCCAAACCACAACAGGATGGCTCTCTGGGATGAGCAGAGGGAGAGACACTTTGGATAACTTATAGAGATGTAAGAAGCAGAAAATATTAATAAGAATTAATTAATAAAATATATTAATTATATTATATATTATTTTATATATTATATTTATATATTATAAATAAAATTAATTAATAAAAGTTAATAATTTTTTAAAAAGAAAAAAGGTGAACAAAATGCTTTCTCAGGCCCCTTCCAGCTCTAAACCATAGGATCCCATATTTCTATCTGGGACCAGAAGGATGCCCAACTCCCTTCTGAACCACTAAATTATGTCCAGTGGCCTAACTGTATGTCTCTGACAGCCTGAATGCCTGATAGAGCCAGAATTAGGCAAAACTGGAAATTTACTGAGGTCAGGTGTCCTATGTTCATTTCTGAGCCTCTCTTCTACCTCCTAGTATACCTTTCTCCCATTTTGCTGTGTCCTTCTTGAGCTTCATACTCCTAAATATCCCATGCCTCCAAATCACTGACCCTCACCCAATCCCCATTAAAAATCCTATTTCCTCTAGGACACAGATTTCTTTCTATTAGGCATTAAAAGACAAGCTAACTATTTAAACTAATTCACACCAAAGTGTTACTAGATGACTAAGACCCCTAGCAGTGGTCCCGAACCTGAACTCACATTTTAAAAAGAACTTGAAGAAATGCAAATCAATCTCTTAGCTATAGGATTTAAGGAAGACTAAGAAAATTAAAGAATTTCAAACCATAAAAAAAGGGGAAGAAATTCCGGGGTAGGGCATCTTTTTCAGAAACCTGCAGAAAAGACTGCCAATTGCCTAGACCCCCATATTGAGGATCTTCAAAGAAACCATAAAAAAGTTTCCCATTTCCCCATCCCCTGTCCCAAACAACTCCTGAAGTGTTCCCCTTAACCTAAACCCTGTAATACTTTCCCCTCCCTCCTCAGACTCAGTCTTGGTTTTCCTGGGGGTTGGCCTCTGACTCACTAGGGATCTTAGTACAAGATCTCTTGCGACTGCAGCCTTTGGCCTGCTCTGGAAAGTTGCTCCATAATGAGAGAATTTCCTCAGGGAAGTTGGGGCACATTTTGAGGAGACTCACTCTTGGAAGAGCTACCTCTCTGCCACATAATTCTGGTCATGCAGACTCATTCTTCAAATTTGTTACTTATGTAATTTATTATCATCTGCTCACAACCTAGAAAAACTGGAAAGAACAGAAGTCCAAAGAGTTTCTCTACAACATCACACAAAACAATACCTATCAGAAGAAGAGGCAACACATTACAGCGGAAATGAACTGGGACTGGAAATCAATAGGTCTGGATTTGAGTCCACTCCCCCAT